TTTCAGGAAAAAAAGTTTAAAAAAAATGTTGCATAAGCAATATAATTTGTTTTAATTTGTTTGTTTTCAAAATTTCTGAAATTTTCAAAATACTAAGTTTATATCATAAATCTATGACATCAGTGATCATAGATTTTGCTTTAACTCTGCATTATTTCTTTTCTTTTTCTTTTTTTTATTTAATTAGTCAAATATTAAATTCAATTTTTATTTTATTTTATTTATTTTGTTAATTAGAAAACTGGGTCTTTTAACATGATTAACTGATTAGGATTTTTTTTTTTATGACATAACATTAAAAAAAAGGAGTTCTGAAGTGTTTTGAATATTTTAAATGAATGCATATTCTCGATTGATTGCCTGGTTTCTTTTCTTCATATCTGCACTGGTGACCTAGCCTTCAGATTTTCCAGTCTCATTTGCATCTCACTGATTGTAATCTGCCATTTGGAGACAATTTGTCCGTGTAAAAATGAACACAGACAGAATGAAATGAGGATTATTTCTCAAATGTTAGTGGTTTTGACGCGGTTTTAATTTGGCTTTATTATTGAATTCTGCTTCTCATGCGCAAAATGATTGCATTTTGTGTCAGATCTAAACAGATAAATAATAAAATCAATATGAGGTGCACAATATATCACATAACAAGGCATCTTAATAGTCTGTCAGTGAGGGTTCCTCAATTTGCACTGAATTAATGAACAAAATTTTTGCTTGTCTTCTGTCTTATAAACATTAATTGGTTATGGCACAGCTGAACATTCATTTCAATATAGATGCAATTTATTCTTGTTCTTTTTTCCTTTCTGATTTTCTTTGTTTGCGTTAAAACACCCGGTAAAAATGTTATGTTATGTTATGTTATGTTATGTTATGTTATGTTATGATTTTAAATATATTAATTTTAATTAAGATTTTGAAGTAATGGTAAAATACATTTTAAATATATTAATTTTAATTAAGATTTAAAGTTGCATGACATTTCTAGGCATTTAAATGTAATTTATAGTGTAATAAAGTTGATTGATGTTAAAAATGAACATTATGACAATGTGTGACCAGTTTTACCAATATTTCAGTATTGCCGTGAAATATAATAATGTAATAATATAATATAATATAATATGATATGATATGATATAATATGATATAATAGAATAGAATAGAATAGAATTAATTTGCTTCAATCGTCAGTGCTATATAATGCTTGTCAATGACTTGCAATATTATAAAATATAGTTCATACTTGTGGCCTAGTTAAACAGCTTGCTGTTTGTATTAAGGTTTTTTTTAGGTTATATATTTATTTTCATATATTTTTCTGTGATTTACAGTTGATATAGAAATGGTGCACTGTGCTTAGCTTTGACCCAAAGTTTATTTGTGCCATTGAATTGATTGAGTTATGTTTACAGATGGAGGCAGACAGTTAATGTTAAGAGGGGTGCCATAATGTCGCTCAATTTCTCCGGCTGATAAGGGCCGCAGTACGTGCGATGAGTGCTTGCCCTACAGATAACTTCATAATATATTTTTTTAGACATTTTGATTAGCTCAACTTTTTTCCCCTTTTAAGTTTCCTTCAAAGGCACATTATCATTCTTATTCTCTCAGGTTTATGGCATTCTCATTTAAATATAGATTTATTACATTTATTGTTAAAGGGTTAGTTCACCCAAAAATGAAAATTAGCCCATAAATTACTCACCCTCAAGTTATCCTAGTTGTATATGACTTTCTTCTTTCAGACGAATCCAGTCGGAGTTATATTAAAAATGGTCTTTGATCTTTCAAACTGTTTAATGCCACTCAGCGGGTGTTGCATGCATCAGTCCAAAAGAAGTTAAATAAAAAGCGCCCGTCCATAAAAAAAAAATGTCTCACATGGCTCCGGTGGGTGAACAAAGGCCTCCTGTAGCGAATTGATGCATTTTTGTAAGAAAAATGTCCATATTCAAAACGTAATAATCACTTTAATGTAGCTTGCGCCAACAGTTGTACACGGAAGCAGCTCCGGGCGGATGATGTATGGAGGTAAGCTTTGCGCATGCACCGCTCAGAAGTGACGCACGCGGAAGCGCAGGGGAGAGATCAAAACAAAACAACAGTCACTTATTAGAAGTACAAAACGAGGATTTGTAAAGAAGAATGTCGGAGGATTTCGATATAAGCCAAGAGGAGACTTTTCCTTTGCTAAAGTAAGGAAACTTTGCTTCCTTTGCTCCTGTTAACAAACGTTGGTTTTCACAAGACTCACCGGCACATTCGCAATGCCGACCTCATACGTCATCCGCCTGGAGCTGCTTCCGTGTACAACTGCTGGCACAAGCTACATTAAAGTGATTATTACGTTTTGAATATGGACATTTTTCTTACAAAAATGCATCGATTCACTACAGGAGGCCTTTGTTCACCCCCCGGAGCTGTGTGAGACACTTTTTTTTATGGATGGGTGCTTTTTATTTAACTTCTTTTGGACTGATGCACTGCAACACCCACTGACTGCCATTAAACAGCTTGGAAGATCAAAGACCATTTTTAATATAACTCCGACTGGATTCGTCTGAAAGAAGAAAGTCATATACACCTAGGATGACTTGAGGGTGAGTAATTTATGGGCTAATTTTCATTTTTGGCTGAACTAACCCTTCAAAGGGATTCCTGCTTTTTCTCCACCTTCTTAGCGAAGGAATTGTGTGCAGATGAATTCATCAAAGAGATGTTAATGACGTGAAGTGTTTCTCTTGCAGGCTGGGTTTCCAGCTGTGAATGTCAAAAGTGACTCTTTAAAAATGTATTCATATGGTCTGTTGTTCCATTCACAAGTCTCAACCTTTCCCCCTGCACACTCCACTTCCATCATCATGGAAGTGCTGAAAGAAAATTTAAATATTTCACTTTCACTCAAAGAAAGTGAAATTGTCATTTTTAAATACCCTTGATCACGGCTGGGTTCATTTTGAATGCAGGGATGAGGGATCTGGGACCTGCTAATCTCACAATGCTGGTCAGTCAGGGTTTTCGAGATGTTGAAAAATACAGTGTCAGAAAAATGCAAAATAATTACCTTTACCATGTCACTGGATCAGCACATCAGTATCTTGTTTAGCCCTAAAACATGCATAATACATCTTTGATTTAATCTAATGCTCTGCCTGGCTATACAGTAAAACACACACTGTAAAATCTAATTAGTTGGGCTTACTTAAAAAAAGCATGCAAACCGATTGCCTTGAAAAAACGAAGTAAAGTGAAATAGGGATAGTATGTTGTACTGACAAATGCTTAGTTAGTATAGTTTACTTACACGAGAGTTCTAGTAACTAAAAAAGAACTGTAGGGGGAACTTGATCCTTTCATTTAGGTTTACTCATGACTTAGTATAGCTACTCACTGATTCCCAGAGTGCATTGCGGCATGAATAAATTATGCAGTTGCTTTGTTTTACAGTTGTTGATTTTATTTGCCAATTTTATTTGCTGTCTTGTGTCAGAAGTAGCACAACAAAAAGAGCAAATAAAATGGTTATTGTTACAATTAATACAAATAAATGAAATTTAATTGTTACAATTGTTGTGATTTGCATGCTGAATGTTTAAGTCTGTGTGTGACTTTAGCATATTACCACACACTATTTAAGGATTATATAAACCCAATTTTAAGCTTTTTAAGGTATTTATGAAAAATTAATTTTGCAAAAGTTCATTGACTAACACAAGCACAAAAAAAAAAAACACATTAATTTAATTATAAAATAGGTCAATTTTTAAAAGCAACCTATTTATTACTTTTCTTCCCTTGAAGCCAAATTACTCTGCCTTCACGATGCATTACTGCATTAACAGAAAAATAATTATAGTGACATAAACAAAGTTCCAAGTGCCCAACCAAAGGGAACGCTAATCACTATAATGGTGAATAAAAAAATAAAAACATTTTTTTTTTAGGAAAATCAACATCAATTGAATATGAAGGTAGCTTATGTGATGTTCTCTCAAATATTTCAGTTGTATTGAAAATTCAACATTCATGATGACTGGGAAACGAGTGAATGCAACTAGTGAAAGATAACTGCAGGCATTGAGGAAATGGGTGAAAAGTCTATTAAGACTCTTTTTATGTTCTTCTTCTTGTGTTGTTATGTTGCACATTAGCAAAATATTAGTGCACTGCTGCCTCTCACTGGTTTATTAATGTCATTGGTTCCTTTGTGGCTACTTCAGTTGTGTAGGTTCAGTATATGAAGCCTGTGCAGATATAAGATATTCTAGCAGAACTGTCCAGCTATGTAACTTATAAAGTTACATTAGTTGATTATGAAGCAACAGCCAGTGTCTGAATAATAATATTGCTTCATTAACTTCACATTTGTTTTCCTTCAAGAGAGAATGAAAGTATACTAACCCATTTTAAACAACCAGCCACGACCTCATTCATCAGACTGGCTGTTTGAGGCTATGAACCAGGCGTTTGTGATGTCTTACAGTATAAATAGAAATTTTTAAAGCAGGCTTACAGAACACAATGTTTGTTGGAGCACTAGGTTTCTAGGCTAGTATTATTTGTTACAGGTTAACAGGAGGGAGGGATTTGAAAGAGATGCAAGTCTATCAGCTCAAATACTGTACACTACCTCCACATAAAGCATATGTTCCCAATCTCTGCAGACACATTGATATGCTCATAATCTTGCTTGATCTTTTATAAGCTCCTTAACTTGGGAATTGGGGTGATTTCATTCTTAAATCCTGTTCTAAAAAGAGAGATTATTTTCATTAAATTTATTTTATAAATCGTTTAAACTGGTTTCATAGAGCAGTCAGGGTTATATCCTTAAGGTGACCTCAGAATGAACTCTATGTCTTTTATATGCGCATAAATTGTTTCTTTAACATGATTTATGCTGTGAAATAGGCTAAATGGCTCAAATGTTGTCACTTACACAGAAACGCTTATGATTTCTAATTCACCCTGTTTTTAAATTCTCACTGATGTAGAAATCCTGAATGGAGGCGTGTATGTGGATCAGAATAAGTTCCTGTGTCACGCTGACACCGTCCACTGGCAGGACATCATCAAGAATCAGTAATGTTGTGAAATATTATTACTTTTTAAAATAACTCTATTTGAATATATTTTAAAATGCAATTTATTCCTCTCATCAGAGCTGAATTTTCAGTATCATTACTCCAGTCTTCAGTGTCATATGCTGATTTGCTGCTCAAGAAACATTTCTTATTAATAATTAATGTTAATTATTATTAATTATTGTTCAAAACAGTTGTGCTGCTTAATATTTTTTTGTGTAAACCCCATGGTATTTTTTTTCAGGATTTTTTGATAAATAGAAACTGCAAAAGTACAGTATTTTTTGAGATCTTATGTAACACTTACAATCAGTTTATTGCTTCCTTGCTGAATAAATGCATTGATTAAAGACACGTGCACACAAGCCTTTAAACTGTGGCATATACTGTAAATACATTATAAAATGTTTACAAATAATATATATTTTTTCCCACTAGCAATAAAATTGTAGTACTCAGGTCCATTTTAATACATTTTATCATCAATTCTGTCTGGGCTTAGCAATTAAAAACACACACACACACACACACACACACACACACAAATGGGCACTAGATGATGTTTACTGAAGATGAATGGTTTAATTCAAGTTCAAGTTCAAGTTCAAGTCTGCTTTATTGTCAATTCTTCCACATGTACAGCACATACACACAGAGAATTGAAATTGCGTTACTCTCAGACCCTTGGTGCATACAGATAACACTAACAGTAGAAATAAGTTCCTGTGTCACGCTGACACCGTCCACTGGCAGGACATCATCAAGAACCCACGTTCTGAACTTCTGGTCGTGCCCTCAAACAACAGTGGCAACACATGTGAGTGTTTCGATGAGTTTAATGACTCAAACCAGGCTATAATAATTGATGATTTTCATAATTAGACTGAAATTGTTTTGTGTCCTTTCAAAACTTGCATGTGCAGGCTATAATTTGAAACTTTAACAAACAAGAAGATATGTAAAAGGTTTTAAAATATTTACAGCAATACTGAAATACTGATAAAACTGATAATGTTAATATTAGTTGAACTTGAATTTCTTTGTGTACACTACTGTTCAGAAACTTCGGGTTGGTAAGGTGTTTTTGAAAGAAATCTTTTATTATCAAAAGTACAGTCAAAACAGTAATATTATAATATTGTATTATTACAATATAAAATATTTGTATATATTTTTTAAAATGTAATTTATTCCTGTAATGGTAAAGCTGAATATTTAGCATCATTACTCCAGTCTTCAGTGTCACATGATCTTTCAGAAATCATTCTAATATGCTGATTTGCAGCTCAAGAAACATTTCTTATTACTCTCAACTCTCAAAAAACAGTAGTGCTGCCATCATACATTTTTGATGATTCTTTGATGAATAGAAAATTAAACAAAAAACCTGCATAAAAAAACATTGATTTGAAACATATTTGAAATGTTTTCTAACAGTATAAATATACATATACTTATATATAAAATAACTAAAAACGTATATATACATATACTTATATAGTATAAACACAGGCAAATTGCCAAATTCATTGTTTCATTGTGTTCAGTGTTCACGCTAACAAAGTTTTCCAAAAAAAGATGCCATAGGTTTTGGGGTCTTTTTGAAACCCCTAGAAAATTGCAGGATTTCTTCAGTGTAATCAGCCTTAACTGAAATGATACTGTTGAGTCCCTCTCAGTCACACTCTCTCGATAATTACAAAATAGTCAATTAAATCCAAGTGGTGAAAATGAGTGTGGGAACTAAGTGGGAACGTTGTATGAGACAAATCCCAGAGTATATTGAAGTGTGCTGTTGTTTAGGATTAACGTTAAGATGTATTCCACAGGCAGAAGGTGTCATCGCTCATGTAACGGCCGCTGTTGGGGCCCTCAGGAGGATCAGTGCCAAAGCTGTGAGTATTTAACACAGACTTTATCATTTAACTTGCACAACTACACATCCATGCACGCAAAATGCAATACATTAAAGCTTTCAGTGTGATGTGACCTTTGACCATTTTGCAGTATTATAATATTATTGATTTTGTCGTAGCATGTCAACTTATGCTATCATAAATTACTGTCATTATAATGCATTCAAATGGAATCAAGTCTATACAACTCGTACATTAATGTATATATAGATCAGTTAGAATATGCCCTATTTTTGTTGCTAGACATAATGACATTATTACCAGAAGTTCTTTCTTGTTAAGCTTGAAACCAAAGTTTAAAAGAAAGTTTATAATTAAGTTATATTAAAATGCCCATATTATACTCATTTAAAAGTTCATAATTTGTAGGGTGTACTAGAGTACATTTACTGTATATGATTTAAAGTTTAAAAAGCACATTATTTTTCTCACACTGTACATTACTTCAGCATAGTGGTAATAATTGTTGTAAAAGTTGTAATCTGGCTCACAGGAAGACAGTAGTCATATCTCTGTAGCAGTTTTTCTCGTGATTAAGAGATAATACAAGACTTCTTCATCTTATAAATGGTTGTCAAAAGCAAAAATGCTTCGAAAGTGTGAGCAAAACAGACACCATTTACTACTGACGGTTTCTTTCAGAAGGATGCTTCGTCATCTGAACAATCAGTTTGTTGTTAATTATGTTAAAAGTTAACTTTTTGCCTGATGTTGCGGACAGAAATATTATGTACATCAAAGTTTCAGAAATAAAAACAGAGTTTCAGTAATTGAAATTAAATGTGTTCTGTCTGTAAAGTAAACACATTCTGAAGCACCTCGAGTGAAAGCTCTTGGGAACTCGGTGATCTTCTCTGGTGCTCGTGGCACAACCTGTGGTGATGCACTCATGAGTGGGTGGCAGATACAAAGAGAGGGACAGCAGGGGATGGCAGGTTCAGTTTTGAATACATAATTAGGTATAATTAAAGACAACCCAGCTCTGTAGAGTTTCACCACTGATGGGGGGAGGGGGGTTACACAGTTTGTCTGGCAAATAATAGATTTAAGGTTTTTGCTTTGTCCTGGTGACTTTTGACATATTTACAGAAAAGTAAACTCATAAAAATGTAGAGAGAGCTTCACTTTTGTCTTCGCGGTTACAGTGACAAAGACGGTGTGTGCAGAGCAGTGTGATGGACGCTGTTTTGGTCCGTACGTCAGTAACTGCTGCCACCGTGAATGTGCAGGAGGCTGTTTCGGACCCAAAGACACAGACTGCTTCGTATGTCAACATTTTCCTGTATTTATACCTCATTCTGCATGATTTTAAAGTGTACTAGAGGTATTGACAAATGCCTGCTCATATCATTTTTAAAGTAGTTTCATGTGCTTTAAAGGGATAGTTCACCCAAAAATGGACATTACCCCATGATTTACTCACTCTCAAGCCATCCTATAGTGTATATGTGTATTTTTTTATTTGTATTTTTCTTTCAGACGAATACAATCGGAGTTAAATAAAAAAAGCTTCCAAGCTTTATAATGGCAGTGAATGGGTGTTGATATTCAATAGTCCAATAAAGTGCATCCATCCATAATAAAAAGTGCCACACAAGAGAGTGGAGTTCCAGTAGATGACATAGGATGTAGGTGTCACATAAGCTCCAGTGAGAATACGCTAGTCTCGCGAGAACCAAGTTTTGTTTACAGCAAAGGAAAACCAGTCTCCTCTTGGCTTATATCGAAATCCTCTGACATTTTTCTTTACAAATTCTCATTTTGTACTTCTAATTCATGACTGGTATTTTGTTTTGCTCTCTCCTCTACACTTCAGTTTTCGTCACTTCTCACCGGAGCTTAAGCTACACCTCCGTCCTACGTCAACCGCTGTAACGCCACTCTTTCGTGAATGCGTGTATGACAGTTAGTGGAAGCTAGAGATTATGGTTTATAACCTTTTAAATATGGATAATTTTCTTACAAAAATGCATCGATTCCCTTCTGGAGGCTTTTATTAACCCCACGGAGCCATGTGGAGCACTTTTTATGATGGATGGATGGATGCACTTTATTGGATATATATATATATAACTCGGATTGTATTCATCTGAAAGAAGAAAGTTATATACACCTAGGATGGCTTGAAGGTGAGCAAATTATGGGGTAATTTTCATTTTTGGGTGAACTACCTCTTTAATGTGTGTTGAAAACACTTAAAGCTCTGCAGAGGCGTTTCTCCATTATAGTCATGTTTTGTTGATCGACCACATAATTACATGACTGTTTTTTGTTCTCAGGCTTGTACCAACTTTAATGACAGCGGGGCCTGTGTGACACAATGTCCTCAGACATTCGTCTACAATCCAACAACCTTCCAACTCGAGCACAATCCCAATGCCAAATACACCTATGGAGCTTTCTGTGTCAAGAAATGCCCACGTAAGTTATACTGATCAATTGATCAAATTTAAAGTTAAATAATTAATAAATGTAAAAATAAATAAATAAGAGAACAGCATCATACTGTTTTTTTTTTTTCATTTAAAGATATACTAGTTTTATATTTTTAAACTTTTTAGAATTTTCTTTTTTGTCTTCACTGTCCCTTTAAAACATATTTTTGAACTAAGAAGCATCTTTCACAAGTAAACCCTGTCATTCTTTAACATAGATAACTTTGTGGTGGATCACAGCTCTTGTGTCAAAGCCTGTCCGAGCAACAAGATGGAGGTGGAGGAAAATCACATCAAGATGTGTATCCCATGCACTGACATCTGTCCGAAAAGTAAAAAACAAAGAATTTAAGAATTGCTAAAAAAAACAACATATAACCTCCACACTTTTTAGGAGCATTACAATACAGTATGCTCATGTTTGTTTGTGGTGTTCAGTGTGTGATGGTATAGGTACCGGCAGTCTTCAAATGGCTCAAACTGTAGATTCCAGCAACATTGAGATGTTTGTCAATTGCACCAAGATCAACGGTAACCTCATCTTCCTCATCACAGGCATTAAAGGGTGAGGAACATTTACGTCAGATATTCTGACACCTGCATTTCTCTTTGAACAGCTATATGCCCTCAAAAGCTGCTATAAGTGAATGTCAACTTATCTAGGCATGCCAACAAGCACTGTAACGAGGTGGTTTTGATGTACTGTATATAAAGCTGACGTGTTACTCTGCGTGATGACAGAAGAAAAATCTGTAGTCATGCGATCTACAAACTTGATGCAAAGTCAGTTTAAATCCTAATGAGTGTGACACAGTGTCCTCAGCCATTCGTCTACAATCCAACAACCTTCCAGCTCGAGCACAATCCCAATGCCAAATACACCTATGGAGCTTTCTGTGTCAAGAAATGCCCACGTAAGTTATACTGATCAATTGATCAAATTTAAAGTTAAATAATTAATAAATGTAAAAATAAATAAATAAGAGAACAGCATCATACTGTTTTTTTTTTTTCATTTAAAGATATACTAGTTTTATATTTTTAAACTTTTTAGAATTTTCTTTTTTGTCTTCACTGTCCCTTTAAAACATATTTTTGAACTAAGAAGCATCTTTCACAAGTAAACCCTGTCATTCTTTAACATAGATAACTTTGTGGTGGATCACAGCTCTTGTGTCAAAGCCTGTCCGAGCAACAAGATGGAGGTGGAGGAAAATCACATCAAGATGTGTATCCCATGCACTGACATCTGTCCGAAAAGTAAAAAACAAAGAATTTAAGAATTGCTAAAAAAAACAACATATAACCTCCACACTTTTTAGGAGCATTACAATACAGTATGCTCATGTTTGTTTGTGGTGTTCAGTGTGTGATGGTATAGGTACCGGCAGTCTTCAAATGGCTCAAACTGTAGATTCCAGCAACATTGAGATGTTTGTCAATTGCACCAAGATCAACGGTAACCTCATCTTCCTCATCACAGGCATTAAAGGGTGAGGAACATTTACGTCAGATATTCTGACACCTGCATTTCTCTTTGAACAGCTATATGCCCTCAAAAGCTGCTATAAGTGAATGTCAACTTATCTAGGCATGCCAACAAGCACTGTAACGAGGTGGTTTTGATGTACTGTATATAAAGCTGACGTGTTACTCTGCGTGATGACAGAAGAAAAATCTGTAGTCATGCGATCTACAAACTTGATGCAAAGTCAGTTTAAATCCTAATGAGATTGACCTTGTTGTTCCCAGGACATTATTACACTATCAAAACCTGTGCTCATAAAAATACATGCTTTTTTTTTTTATTCCTTACACTCATAAACAGTTTTGCTGTGTTTAACAGAGACATGTATCATGGTATCGGTGCTCTGGATCCTGAGCGACTGAATGTGTTCTGGACCGTCAGAGAGATCACAGGTAGAGAAAGCATTCGCATTAGTTTTAAAATTATTTGGTAAAGCTATATCCAAATAACAAAAAACACACATGATGTCGAGCAAGTTCATTTCTCACTGCATTCTTGGATCCTTATGTTACAGTATTTATTTGTTGAGTGTAATAGGTTAGAAAAACTGAACAGTAAGTCATGTTAAAAGGCTTTTGTTTAATTAAAATCTGGTGTGTGGCACAGTCAGATATTATATTGCAGTTAATGGAGTGAAACGTAATGAAACTCTGCACAATAAGAAAGACCTATGACTGTTGTCGTGAACGCAGTTCCCATCGCCACCATATAAACGCACCTCTGATTCTTGATGCACCAAAATATTGATCATAAGAACATGTGCAACTGTGGAAAACGCACCCAATGGTACTGAAAAATTGTGGTGCGATATTACATATCTATATTTCGTCATTACTTTTCCAAGACTACATTTGATGTATTTTTGCTTTGCTTTTTTTACTGCCACATCTAGACCACTGTTGAATAATAGGTTTGTTGCTTGTTTGTTAACTGCATCCAAAGGTTACTTAAACATCCAGTCTTGGCCAGAGAACATGACTGACCTTGGTGTCTTTTCCAACCTTGTCACCATAGGAGGTAGAACACTTTATAGGTAAGATTATTTTCTGTCAGTGCAACTGTTTTTGACTCACAAAAATGCTCACTGCAAAATCACAGTGGATCAAAGTAAACCTTTCTGCTACATCACTACCAAATAAACAATCCAACCATATGAAAGAACGATAGGTTTGCAAATTTTTAGTGACTTTCTAATCATCCTCATTTCTGTGCATCTTTGTTTTCTCAGTGGTATTTCTCTGCTGATCCTGAAGCAGCGCTGGATCTCTTCGCTCAAGTTCCAGTCTCTGAAAGAGATCAGCGCCGGTAACGTCTACATGACCAACAACAGCCACCTCTGCTTCTACAACACAGTGAACTGGACCAGTCTGTTCCGCACCAGCACCCAGAGAGCTCTGATCAAGAACAACAGGGACCCCAGAGAGTGTAGTGAGTGCTCTAGCCAGTACTATCAAACAAAAAAGATGAATTTAGTGCTCTATTTAAACAGGTGCATCTCCTTTGTATGAACTTATACTTTGTGACTATTTAAAATGGTCAAATTTATCACTATTTTAAGGCAGAACACTACAGGGGATATAGGGTTAAAATCTTAACTAGCAAATACTTCCCTTTCATGGGAACTTCGAACTGCGTCCTCTAGGGGTCGCTATGGGGGATTCCAAATCTGATAGTTTACACTTTAAATCAAGGGTCGTCCAGTGAGC